TCATTGTGCACACAGCGGCGAGCTTAGCCCATGCCTCGAAAAAAAAGCGAGCCACCATGCGTACAAACACTGGTGTCATAACTTTCAAACAATGTTCAAATCTTCAAAATAAAAATCATTTTAAAAAATTTGTTCAGAATGTCCAGTTTTTTATTTGGGTTCTATTTGTTTTGAAATATAAAAAATACCACTTTCCAAAAAGTGTTCCGAATCTTCAAATTTTGGTCAGCTTCTTAAATTTTTTGTTCAAACATTTCCAAATTTTGAAAAATAATGTTTCAATTTTTTTGCAATTTTGAAAAAGATTTGCGTTTTCAAATTGTGTTCTGAATTTCATAAAAGGTTTTTGTTTACAAAATTTGTTCACAAATCCAGAAAATATTCATGTTTCTAATTTTATTTGGAATTTCAAAAAAACACCTTCTCAAAATATGTTAGTGTTTCAAAATTTTGTTAAATTTTCAAAAATTGTTCTCGTTTATCAAATGTTTGTGTTTCCAAAAAATATATGAGTTTTGTTTTGAAAAAATGTTTGAGTTTTACAAAATTATTTGCAATTTAGAAAAAGGTTATCATTTCAAAAATTATTCACTTTAGAAAAACTTGTTTAGAAGTTTCAAAAAATGTTTCAGACATGTCCGTCTCTTCTGTCGTGGGCAGATAGTCGCTTCGTTTTGGCCAAACTCTACATGTTCTCTCTCTGGGCACGTACGTGTATCCTCTAGATGGCATGGTGCAGCGGCTCATGCGTCGGAGAGCCAACCAATGTTTTGTATCGCCAGCTTCTTCAGCCGTAGCCTGTAGATGACATACATACGTGCCAGGTCGTGTCGACACAAAGATGGCCGCGATGTTTCCATAGACGTTTACACTTTGTAACATTAATTTTTTGGTATATGTTGTTGTGTATCAGTATGTCTGTAGTCTACTGTAGGATTTCAAAAGGGCCTCCAATACAAAAAAAAGATAAGACGCAGCGCGCACCACTTGCTCCTCTTGCGCCCTCCTGGGCCGGCCCATGTGCACGCACACTTTTTAATTTAACTTTTTCTTAATTCTTTTTTTCCTGTTTTTCTTTTTTCTACTTTAAATAACTTGGGCTTTCAAAGAAGTTCTCAATTTTTTAAAAAATAACAATTTCGTAAAAAAATTCAAGAAATCATGTTCACACATTTAAAAAATGTTTGTCATTTAAAAAACTGTTCACATATTCACAAATTTTCTTGTATTGACAAAATGTTCAAATAATGTTTAAAAACGTATAAACTGTCCCTCTAACCATTGTCATCGAAGTCACCGTACGCACCTCGTCATCGATGGAAACGTCTCCTCCCACTGAATACGCATCGCCGGAAATTCTGAGATAAATCCAAAAATAAATGCGAGCACCAGGACTTAAACACTGGTGGGCTGGGATACCACAGTCCCTCTAACCATTCAACCACGAGTTGGTTTTATCAGCATAACATGTGTCACAGCCCCACAGGGGCCATTTTTTCTTAATAAAGCAAAACAACCGTAATTTGAAAGTAACTTAGGGTTAATTAATGGAGCATAAGTTGACCTGACAGCAGAAACATTCAAAAGGATGATCAGAACCTCTAGAGATTGTACGTCGTTCCGGTTGTACGGTCAGCACAACGATGAACATCCGTTGAAAGCTACGGCCAGCGTATAACCACAAATTCACAAAAAAGCTTGCTTTCAGTTTTGGCTCAAACAGCTCTAGAAGGACGCTTCTTGCAAAGACATGTTTTTCTCGTATGGCATCAGCTAAACCCATAATTAAATTGCCGTGCATCTTCGGGAGAAGCGACTCAGTTAATCCGGAAACGTACCTTATCTCTTTTCTTACAGTTTATACAAAGCACAGCTACAGCTACAGGCCGATGAGCACCTGCTCGCCACCTTTTTTTTTTTGCGATGGACCTGCTTGCCATTTCATCCAAGTATTTTGGATTTTGCTATTCTGTTTAATTCTTTTTATGGATCATGACCTCGAGAAAGCGAGAAATATGAAACTGATTTTGCAGCAGTCGAGCAACTCCATGTCTTAAGATCAATTTTCATAAAAGTGAATTGTTTTGCTTTGACGACACTCAAGACGAGGCCGACCTGTACGCTGAACTATTCAGATGCGGATTGGACCAGTTTCCGATCGCATATTTGGGGATATAGATACATTATCGAAGACTCACAAATACTGAATGAAAACACGTCAAATAAAGACTGCAAAAATGACTTAGGAGTTGAAAAGGTAAACTCTGTCTCTGGGTGGATGATTGGTCTTCCTAAATTTATTACTAAGTAATATGGTACTATATATGATTTTCTTCTTCCAGTTGCCGAAAGGAGTTTTACATAGATTGAATTATTTCCGATCAAGATTCTTTTGGCAAGGAGATAGCAAGAGAAAGAAATATCGACTGGCTAAATGCAGTGTGTTTGGCGTCCCAAAGACCAAGGGCAGGTTGGGCATTCATGACCTTGAGGTTTAAAATATGGCCCTCCCGGGCAAATGGTTGTTTAAATTACTGACGGAAGATGGTGTACGGAAAACCTTTCTAAGGAAAAAATATGTGGGTTCTAAGGCGGTATCCCAAGTATATTAGAAGTCTGGGGATTCCCACTTTTGGGCTGTTCTAATGGCTACGAACAAAATATTTCTTCTGCTATGAATCCTTCTCGATTAAGGATGGCTTAATAATTAGATTCTGGGAGGACAAGTGGCTAGGAAATGCCATACTCCAGGAACAATATCCGACTTTATTCAATATTGTGACATTCAGAAGAGATTTAATTGGACTGGGACTCCAATCCTGAAACATCCTGCTCTAGTGGTTGTCGACGGTGCAATTGTCACATGGGTCTGATTTATTTCCATGGAACCTCCATATGAATGGACAATTCTCATTTGAGCCCATGTATAGAGCGTTAGTCCAGTCTGATGTGCCAGTTGATAACAACAAGAAGATATGGAAGATGAAGATACCTCTTAAGAATAAAATCTTTGTATGACATCTTTGTCACAGAGTCATTCTTAGATAACCTTATTAAGAAGAATTGGCATGAAAGTCCGCAATGTGTGTCACCATGATGAGACAATAAAAAATTTATTCTTCCAATGCAAATTGACTTGTTCTATATGGCCAGTCATCCAAATAGCTTCTATCTTGTATCCTACTTGTAGTCTTGCTAATGTATTTGGCAACTGGTTACACGGGATTAATCACAAGTTTAGAACTCTTCTCAGGATGGGAGCGCTTACCTTTATTTGGTCGCCTTGGCTATGTAGAAATAATAAGATTTTTAATGATAAAAGTACTTCTCAGGTTATCTACAGATGTACCCGGACTCTTCGTTTATGATCCTCTCTACAACGCGTAAGGAATCTAGACTTGTTTACAAAAGTGTGTACATGATTGGAGGCTACGATGAAGGATACTTTTATCCAACATGGGTGGCAGCATGATCGTCAGATTGGCCCCCCTCCGCTTTAGTGTTATACAGACTCTACATGTCCCTTTGTATTTCGCCTTTTTTTCGTTTGTATGAGAGAACCTTGTTTGGTTGTGTGCATTTTAGTTATGCCGAGACTGGGTGTAATGCCTAAATCTTTTAAGTAATAAAGTGCTCTTTTTCGAATAATATTTTTAAAACCTAACAGGTTTGTGTAGGGACAGTCAATCCAGCTTCAGGGACCCCCACCCCACCCCTCTCTCAGCCACATACGCAACCCCTCTGGCAATAGACCGGGATTATATAAAACGGTGTGTCAGTTTCAGGGATTTCAAGATCAGGGTTCAGTACGGTCTCGATGTATGAATTTAAGGTTTATTTTAAACTTTCTCTTTTAACCTACGGCGGCGGAACACCACCACCCACGGCCATCAAGCGTTGTCGCCTCCGCCGTGCCACCGTCACTGTGGCATCCCTTCTAATTGCAGCCACGAACTCTAGCGTTGGCGACCCGCACATAAACCTACAAACATGAATTTCTTCGACGGCGACGACACGTTACCCCGCTAGGGCCTTGGTGAAATTGCCTCAACTGCACAAACGTCGGTTTTGCTATTTATCAGGCACCTAATTTTTTTCAAAGCATCAGTCACTTTTTCTTTGTTCATTCCTAGCTCATTAGTGAAGAAAGCTCCACTATCTATCTTACGAGGAAGCCACGACCCATTTATCTATCTTAGGGGCGAGCCATGGCCCAACTATCTATCCTAAGGGGCAGGGGTGCTGCAGGGATCGCCGAAGTTGTGCGGCGAGGCTTAGATATATGGTCGGGGCTGTGCGAGGAAGGAGATAAACAGTAACGTTGATACACTTATTTTGGGACGGAGGAAGTATAAGAGACTTTTTGTTTCCCATTCCCTGTTAAAAAAACCTTTTAGTTGTTTAAGGAATAGCAAATCCATTATAGATACGTTGCGTACAATATTACTGAATTCTTGAATTTAACTATAGAAACCGCATCATGGACTTTCTTTCTTGTAATTTTCTTCAGAGTTCAGAGTTGACTCTGACGCTGAGTAGAATGGATGAGACGTAGCTTCAAGTCCTTGGGATGGCGCGAACACGGAGGGGATGCTTCATGAGGGTGGTGAAATCCAGCACCTCGGTCATGTCCACCTCCTCTCCGTCCGCCGCCGGCAGCCACTCCAGCTCCCTCACGAGGCTCCCGACGAAGACGTGCAGCATGGCGAGCGTGTATCCCGGGCACATCCTGCGGCACGCTCCGAAGGGCATCATCTTGATCTCTCTGCTACCCGTGATGTCCACGCCGCATCCCTCGCCGCCGTCCAGGAATCGCTCCGGCCGGAACTCCCGCGCCGCCGCCCACACCGTCTCGTCGCGCCCGTACTCAGCGACCAGGAAGTTGACATCCGCGCCCTTGGGGACCCTGTAGCCGCTGATCTCCGTGTCGCTCTGCACGGCGTGAGGGAGGAGGAAGTGAGCCGGCGGGTGGAGCCGCAGCCCCTCGAGGACGACGGCCTTCAGGTACGGCATCCGCTGCAGGTCGCCTTCACTGAGCTCCGCCTTGCTCCTGAGTTCCTGACCTCCTCGTAGACCTTGGCCTGCATGTCCGGATGGTTCACCAGCTCCCCCATGATCCATTCCAGCGAGGTCACCGTGCTGTCCGTGCCACCGCTCAAGAACTCGGAGCAGAGACTGACGAGCTCGGAGTCCGTGAGCGGGCGGCCGCCTTCGTCCGCCACACGCAGCGCCAGAAGCGAGTCGGCGTAGCACGGTGGGTTGTCAGCGCCGCGGGGCACGGAAACGGAACGCCTTGTTTCGATCAGCGGGAGCAAGATCTCGTCCTGCCTCCGGCGGACGGCAAGGTGCGCTTCCCATCGCTTGCGGAAGAGCCTCTTGGTGAGCGCCGGCAAGAAGGAAAAGATGGGGAAGCCGGTGATGGTGCGGACGACCCACAGCTGCATCTCCTGCATCTCGTCGAGCATCTCCGGGGCGAGCCTGGCGCCGAGGCTCATGTACACCAGCAGGTCGAACATGGCGTTCCGGAACGGCGTCCTCACCTCGACGGGGTCGCCGGCGGCGCCGCGCTTGCGGAGGTCGCGGACGAGCATGTCGCGCATCCGGCGCCTCGCGGGCGCGAACTGGCTGACGCAGGCCGGGTGCAGCGCCTCGGAGGCGAGGTTGCGGCGGACGAGGCGCCAGTAAGGCCCGTAGGGCGCGGCGTTGATGTTGCGGGAGCCGGAGGTGAAGAGGAGGCCCGGCTCGAAGAGCCTCGGGCGGTCGGCGAAGGTGGCGCCGCCCTGGACGAGGACGCGGTGGGCGAGGTGGCGGTCGGAGACGAAGACGAGGGCGCGGAAGAGGCGGATGGAGATGACGGGGCCGTAGCGCGCGTGCAGCTCGCGGAGGAGCGGCGCAAGGTGGAAGATGGATCGCCGGAGCGCTAGGAACTTGGCCAGGAAGAGCAGCGCCGGTGGGCCTGGGGGAAGCTCCTTCCCGGTCACCTTCTTCTCGACGCTGTGGCGGCAGCTGAGCAAGAAGAGGAGCGCAGCTGCGAGCGAGAGTGAGAGAGTGATGAGCAAGAGGAGCGGTGGCCAGGCCGTGAGCTCCATGGTTGCAGCTCAAGCTATTCTGAGTTTCTGACCGATCGAGCCTGTACTGTTCCAGCGCAATCGTTCGAGTTAACTACTACTAGTGCTGGCGTATGGGCATTTGGTCGTCGCATACTCGCATTGGACGCATTAAGTTCTTGTCGATACCTGGAAGAGAATACTACTCGACTACCATAGATTGCAAATATCATCGCGAACTGCGGAATAATAAACTCATCAACAACCCGAGGTCACGGGCGTGCCAATAATGCTAGATCTGCGGGAAAGAATTGACCTTATTACGAAATGAGGTGGCGTGCAACCACGCAACCGCTGGAGAAATTTTTTGAGCAACTGACTTCACCGGTGAGCCCGTGAATCTTCTCCAGCTCCGGCATAGATTCCTCATGCAAAACTTAATGAAGAATTACACATCCATTCAAAATGTACCTCCCAATCCAAAAGTCCGAACTCATAGACGTGGGATCGATGTAGGCCGCAGAATCCTTTTTATTTAATACTGTGTTGGCAGGGTTTTGAAATCAAGACTTTCTGGCTTGGATACATAGTGAATTCATGCTCCAGCCAACTCATTCAAAAGTCTAAACTGATGGAGTGTAAAACGTAGGTTTGGGCGGAACTGGCTCAACCCTCTATGGGGTGGCCTATCTCTCTCTCTCTCTCTCACACACACACACACAAACACACATATATATATATATATATATCTCCCTAATAATAATAAAGCACGGATTGAATCTGTCGGGTTCACCGTCGCGGCTTTTTTGCATAAAGGTCCCTGCGCTTTTTAGTATTTGACCCGCAGTCCATGGATAAGTGAAAAACGATTCGTCCACGCCGTCTTATTTTCCACCGCGCCGCTCAATGATGGATAAGGCGAAGGGGGCGACAGATGCTGATGCGAGGGGGAGAGAGTGGGAGGAGCTTGCGTACACGAGAGGCGGGAGGCGGGGCCAGGGAGGAGGAAGACAGCCGCGACGGCGACCAGTGCCGCGGGGCCGGCGGCGAGGAGAGCTCCGGGGTCACCAGATCGAGCGTCGCCGGGGAGGGGGACACTCCACAGCGGCGGTGCTTGGGGCTCCGACGAGCGGAGGCGAGCGGCAACAGGAGGCGACAGGAGAAGCTCCGCGGCGACGCCCTGAAGGCCATCAACCATGGCCATTGTGGTCTCGCTGCACGGGGATGAGGACGGGAGGGGCTTGGCAGTCAAGCGCGAAGCAGAGGGGGCGAGCAGTCGAGGCAGAGGTGTCGTCCTCTGCCCGAACTGCTGCTGCTCGATGCAGAGAGCTGGGGGCAGCGTCTGGAGTTGCAGGGAAGCGTGCACAGGAGGGATGGATGGGTTCATGGCGGAGGCGTCGGGGCTCCATGGAGGGAAGTGGCAGCTGCTTACCGAAGAAAGTAAGGAGAGAGAGATTCAGAGAGGGAATATGGGAAGGAAGCAGAGAGAGACTGCGGGATAGGGGCTTCCTACCAGCGTCATGGAGGAACTTCGGTGAGGCTCGACGTGCTGCGGGTTGGACGGGAGGACAGCAGCCGGGCCGCCGTCGCACCAAGGCTAGGTTCGCGCGCTGCGTCGAGCTCCGCCTCCCCCCAGCGTGCAGCCGCTCGCTCTCGCCTGCCCCCACGGCGAGCTCCGCCTCCTGCGTGCGGTCGCCGCCTCCCTCAACTTCCACCACCTGCTGCAAGTTGGTGCCCAGGGCGTCGCAAGCTGCCAGCGGCGGCAGAGTTGCTGCTCCCGTGTCGTGATTGGACTCCGTGTTCTTCTCCAACAGCAAATACATGTTCTTCTCCAACACCAATCGATGGATTTCCCGAACCGGATTTGAGTTGCCTACTATAAGAAGGAAGGGTCCTCGGACCAGAAGCTCCATCAAATCAAATCAAATCAAATCCCGTCGAAATTGCAATCTTCGTCGAAACATCCATGTCACCGCCGACTTCGCCGGAGGAAGAAGCGCAGAGTTCGCCGGAGGAACAAGAACGTCCGTCCAACCATCCAATGTCGCTGCCGGCGGCTACAACAGAGGTATATATCCCCTTGATATTGATTGGATGCAATTCCCTGTTTTAGATGTTGTTTCTGTCCCCTGCCTCTGATTATGCTATGTAGGAGCCTTTTCTTTTCTTTTTAGTTATTCAGTGATATGGGGCTGGGCATCTGAATGAACGAATTCAGTGATATATTCAGACTGGGACCTTTGTTCCTGTTATTTTGTCGTCAAAACTGAAAAAGAGTGTCAGCTTCAGGTAGTTATTTTCAGTTGACAGTATACTAAAAAAATTTGACAGTGAATATTTTGAGCAGGGGCCTTTTTAGAGCAGCGGCAGCAAGTGTGCTCAAGTAAATTCAGTCAGTTAGTTAATCAGGCATGTTCTTCTTTCAGGACAAGTGATGTTGTTCTTTCAGGACAAATGATTCAGTAAATTAGTAATGTTCTTCTTTCATGAAAAATAATTCAGTGATGTTGGTCTTGAGCTGTTAGCTATGTAGCAACACCGCGTTAGGTGATCTCATCTCTGCTAACATTTACACTCGTTCAGCCCAGCTAGAAAATTAGTTACCTTGTTGATTTGCGCCTCTGTATTGACCTTCTGAATGGCCAACTCTTAACCCAGATAAATATGGCTTCTTTGTATTAACCTTATTGATTCCGAGCTTGCATAAATCCAGTTTATGCAATAACATCCCAACTGTAAACTCACCATGATGTACTAACAGTTGGAGGTTTACATTTTATTTTTGTTGTGACTGCAGAAATTAGATGACATCGTTGAAGTGAACATTGTAGAGGATTTTGATAACCGACCTTCCAAAAAGGCAAAAATTTCCGAATCAATTTTTTTAATAATGGCCCGTAGCAACGCATGGGCATTGTACTAGTATATATAATGGTGTCATACAAGTCCTATACCAATATGATATGGATTACACAATAAGGATACAATACGAAGTCTAACACCCTTCCTCAATCTCAACTCACTCCTGAAGCATCTAGGAGGTTGAGATTGCGCCTACAGACCTCAAACATGGGAGAAGGTAGAGGCTTGGTGAAGATGTCTGCAAGTTGATCTTTTGAAGAGATAAACCTGACTTGTAGTAGCTTCTGTGCGACACATTACCTCACAAAATGATAGTCAATCTCAATGTGTTTAGTCCGTGCATGGAACACTGGGTTTGATGACAGAAACGTAGCACCGATCTTGTCACACCAGAGGACCGATGGATGCGACCGAGCAACTCCTAGCACACGAAGTAGGGACTCAATCCATATAAGTTCAACAGTCGCATTGGCAACTGACTTGTACTCAGCCTCTGTGTTGCTGCGGGAAACGGTGGCTTGCTTGCGTGCACTCTAGGCGATCAGATTAGGCCCCAAGAACATTGCATGTCCCCCCGTAGATCGCCTGTCATCTGGACACCCATCCCAATCAGCATTGTGACACCCCCGATTCAATCGTACACTAATCATGCACGCAAATGTGTACGATCAAGATCAGGGACTCACGGGAAGATATCACAACACAACTCTAAAACATAAATAAGTCATACAAGCCTCATAATACAAGCTAGGGGCCTCGAGGGCTCGAATACAAGTGCTCGATCATAGACGAGTCAGCGGAAGCAACAATATCTGAGTATAGACATAAGTTAAACAAGTTTGCCTTAAGAAGGCTAGCACAAACTGGGATACAGATCGAAAGAGGCGCAGGCCTCCTGCCTGGGATCCTTCTAAACTACTCCTGGACGTCGTCAGCGGCCTGCACGTAGTAGTAGGCACCTCCGGGGTAGTAGACGTCATCGACGGTGGCGTCTGGCTCCAGGCCTCCAGCATCTGGTTGCGACAACCAGGTAGAAGGGAAAGGGGAAAAGAGGGAGAAAAGCAACCGTGAGTACTCATCCAAAGTACTCGCAAGCAAGGAGCTACACTACATATGCATGGGTATATGTGTTAGGAGGCCATATCGGTGGACTGAACTGCAGAATGCCAGAATAAGAGGGGGATAGCTAATCCTGTCGAAGACTACGCTTCTGGCAGCCTCCGTCTTGCAGCATATAGAAGAGAGTAGATTGTAGTCCTCCAAGTAGCATCCTCAAGTAGCATCTCCAAGTAGCATCTCCAAGTAGCATCTCCAAGCAGCATCGCATAGCATAAACCTACCCGGCGATCCTCCCCTCGTCACCCTGTTAGAGAGCGATCACCGGGTTGTATCTGGCACTTGGAAGGGTGTGTTTTATTAAGTATTCGGTTCTAGTTGTCATAAGGTCAAGGTACAACTTCAAGTCGTCCTGTTACCGAAGATCACGGCTATTCGAATAGATTAACTTCCCTGCAGGGGTGCACCACATAACCCAACACGCTTGATCCCATTTGGCCGGACACACTTTCCTGGGTCATGCCCGGCCGCGAAAGATCAACACGTCGCAGCCCCACCTAGGCAAAATAGAGAGGCCAGCACGCCGGTCTAAACCTAAGCGCACAGGGGTCTGGGCCCATCGCTCATAGCACACCTGCACGTTGCGTGGGCGGCCGGAAGCAGAACTAGCCCCCTTAATACAAGAGCAGGCGCCGCTCCGTCGCTGACGTCTGAAGTGCTTCGGCTGATACCACGACGTCGGGATACCCATAACTACTCCCGCGTAGATGGTTAGTGCGTATAGGCTCGTAGCCAACTCAGATCAAATACCAAGATCTCATTAAGCGTGTTAAGTATCCGCGAACGCCGAACAGGGCCAGGCCCACCTCTCTCCTAGGCGGTCTCAACCTGCCCTGTCGCTCCGCCACAAAGATCCACACAGAGGGCCGTCGGGACAAAGGTCCTTTCAGCCCCCAATCCGTGAATCACTCGCGGGTACTCTTCGAGCTGACCCGACTTTAGTCACCATCTGTATAGTATGTATGTATGTATCATATATACCCGTGATCACCTCCCGAGTGATCACGGCCCAATAGTATAGCAAGGCAGACTGACAAGAATGTAGGGCCAATGGTGATAAACTA